GAAGTCAGGTGCTTTTCTTAGTGTGTTCCCTATCCACTTCCACCGCTTCTTCCTGATTTCCTCCTCCACTGGAATCTGGTATGTTTTCTCCCACAGTAAGTTCTTGCTGATAGTGTCTGGCCAACGAATCCGAAGTATTTTGCGTAAACAACTGTTAATAAACACTTGTATCCTATGGAATATTGTGAAGCTAGGTAACATGAGATCGAAAACTCTGGATAGTGTGAAATTCCTCAAGATTATATTAACCTGTTGACAATGACCAAATCACAATGGGATCTAGGTAGGCAGGTTCTTATCGAATAGCCCTAATCTCCAAATAGTTTGTATGTATTCAGTAAGAAAGCAAAGAAACACCCAGTGATTTCACTATATTTAGAAAATATTGTCTAAATCTATTGAGGAAATCAAAACATGATGTATCATTTAGTTCATATGAGTTTCTGTTAAAACGTTGAAGCATAGTTTTATTGAATCTTAGCACAGGTTATACAAAAGACAATTAAAATAAATTATGACCAGACAACTCCCCGTGATAAGGATTAATTAATTTTGATACTTCACACGTCAGTTTCATCCAAATCTCTTTGAGAAAGACCTCCACATTTCTGTGGAACTTCTTGTTCAATGAATACAGATACAGAAAACATAATGACATATTTAACCAATCTAGTGAATTAAAATAACGTTTGTCCTCGTGGTGATCGATCAGACTACAATCAAGTTTCTAGCATAGCTACTCATTTAAATGAATTCAGTTCAACAACACAATATTGTAGCACAGAACTATCTCGACGAAGAGTTCCTACTGGTGCCTAACATGAGTCTTTGACTGCTTACCAATTACCTAAAACTACCTACCACTAAAATATATAGGTCACACGAAATGAATTTGAATAAAACTATAAAATAGGCAAACACGATAGTGAATACTACTCAGTTATCGTGCAGTGGAAATATCTCAATCCCATCGGAAATTAGTCACAACCGTATAGTTCAGTGTTAGTGTGTTTAAAGTTGATCGCCAGGGATGTGAACTTGAATTTAACAGACACCTCTACTTCCTGTAAGATTAGATAGACATCTTAAAAGTATATGATAACTAGCCTAAAAGTTAGATACAATGCTTTCCACCACCTACTTTAATTCAGTCAACAAAAACATCACAGCCAACAGTTTCTTATCTATGAACAATTCGTGCGGAAATCGGTTGATTTTTCATTGATCAGTTTCATTTGAATGAGCAATTTTTTCATGGAAAATGGATTGTGTGCGCAAACGCCTAACCATCGGACTACTGGGCCGGCATTCAACGGTGTTAATGTCTAACTCTGATTGATCTACGGATTTTGCGCGACCTCACCAATTTGTCTTTGGTAGTTACTGCCTACACACGACAGGACTGAACTCCAATGATTGATTGATGATTTCAAATGTGTAAAAACACAAACCTCCAAAACTCTGCCCCACAATATCATAACTTTGCTCACTGGTGACTAGCTTCGTGAGAAAATTCTAGGAGTTCTAGTTGAGAAGACGTGACCAATAGAGTTCAACCCTGTCGAGTGTAGGCCCTAACTACCATAGACAAATTGGTGAGGTCGTGCAAAATCCCTAGATCAATCAGAGTTAGATATCAACACCGTTGGATGCCGGCCTAGTGGTTGAGAGGTTAGGCGTTCGCGCACAATGCCGAAGGTCTGGGTTCGAATCGTGCGAGGTGCAGGAGTCGTAGATGAGTCCTGCTGATGAGTCCTATACCAAGACGAAACGGCCGTCTTTCAGTGCTTCCAGGTTTCTAATGTTGGTCTAACAATGATTGATTGATGATTTCAAAAGTGTCAAAACACTAACCTCCAAAAATGTGCCTCCAAAAATAAATGGATTTTATCAAGATTAGGAGCAAGATTTATTGCTTTGTACGAAAAATATATCACATCTTACTTTGTATACCTTTCCTAAATAGTTTTAACCACCAATGGAAGTTCAAAGAAATGACAACTAACTAATTCATCCACTTTACCAAATGTAAGTAAAACAGTCCAGTTCCAACAAAACATTTAATCGAAAAAGGAAAAAATTAATTTCTTAACTGAATATAGTGTTTAATTTTTTGAAATCATAACTTTAGACGAGGTATTAATTAACAACTTACTTGTATTAATTTGGAAAAATTTGTTGGTTTCGGTCCAATTGTCCATTTAGCACCTTGTCTCCAATAATTTAAAGTCAATGGTCTAAATGCTACATATTCAAAATATCTTGATCTCCAAGCCATTGTTCCTTCAATCATTTCATCACCAACAATTAATAAAAAATCTCTTGGCATAGCAGCATAAAAACCTGTTGTATACAAAAGTTTTCATATGAAAAAAAGTGCACAGCAAAGGAAAATAATTAGTCATCTGTTGTAGAACACAATATTACTAACATCATAAAATCATGTTTCATTATGGTTGACACATTGACATTAAACAAAGTGTTTTACAGGTTTTGCTAATCTTCAATCCCAACCATAGCTGATACCTTATCATGGTGGTCCGGACTGACTATCGTGATGACACAACCGAGCTATATTGGCTGCAACATATGTTTCTGAAGGTCCTACCATACCAGGCAGGTCGATTGGAGGACGATCAGACTAAAAGCAGCAACTCGAGGTTTGGGGGGGAAGTCGTACTACCGACTGCAGAGTGGTGTCTCCCTCGGAAAACCAGCATCAACGCCCCCACTGACTGCAGTTCAGACGAGGTGAAAGATGAGTTTTACAGAAGGCTTTCGGAACTCCTCCAAAAAGTTAAGCGCTCTGATTTAGTTATAATGGCTGGTGACTTTAATGCTCAAGTAGGTAGACTGAGTGAAAATGAAAGACACCTAGGTGAATGTTATGGTGTCGCGGCTCAGAGAACAGACAATGGCGACCGTCTGTTGTATGTATGCTCAGATAACCACCTGTTCTTAGCAAACACTAACTTTAGGCATAAGGAAAAGCATCTGTTGACCTGGCAACCCCCGAAGTCGTCTCAACGTTAGACGGAACTAGATCGCATCGTCATCAGCCACCGATGGAGGGGTTCGATAGAGGACTGTCGCTCGTTGTGGGGCATATGTTTAGATCCAGGTCATGCCGTAGTGCGAGCGCGTATTTTCTGCGACTTATCGTACTTAGGAAAGACATCACAAGGAAACCTCTTAGGGTTCTACTCAATCAAAGCAGAGCTATGAAACTAGAAAAACAATTCGACGACCATGTAAGTGATTCCCATTCTGAGACAGGTTGGAATGATATCAAAAAGGCTGTGGAAACAGCAGTGATATCTGCTAATAAGGTAGACCACAAGGTTGGGTATAGGCGATGGATTTACGTAGCATCTACGGAACTAATGGATGCCCGAAAAACTCATCCCGTTTCTCTCTCTCTGAGTACGATGAGGGGCGGAGTCAGCTGAAGCTCAGGCTGATTAAAAGACTGTGCAGTGATCGCGAACAATAATGGGTGGCGAAAGCAAGAGCGATGGAAAATGCAGCGATAGGCAACAGTGGACAACTATTCAGACTTATCAAGGAAACCGGTATTATGAATCTGAATGTAAGTTAAACTATTTCGGGAAAGGATGGTCTTATTATTCATTCTCAATCCAGATTGGATCGATGGGCAGAAAACTTTAGGGATCAGTTCAGTTAGACTTCAGCCACACTTTGATTGCCTACAATTTCCAGTCATCCTGAATGGCAAATCAATATAAATCCTCCAATTCTTTATGAAGTCGAAAAAGTTATAAGAAATCTGAAGCGATAGAGAGCAGCAGGGCTTCATAGGTTTGCCCGGGAGATTTTTAAGTATGGTGCTCCAATTTTAGCATCTAGATTGACTGAGATCTTAGGTCGAATCTGGGAACTGGACGTAATCCCATCCGACTGGTCTCAATCACGATTCGTCCCAGTCTACAAGAAAGGACGGAAGTCCTCTTGTGACAATCACAGAGGATTAAGCAGAACTAGTATAGTATCGAATATATTGGCCTCAGTAATACTCCATCACTTAACAAAACCTCGTGAAGAGCAGACTAGACAAAAACAGGCTGGTTTTCGACCTGGACGCGGATGTATAGACTCTCTTGATTGTTAGGTTCTATGCCCATGTCTGTCATTAAAAGGTAAATTTCCTTATACTGGCTTTCTACTCGAATAACTTTGGTCGTATGAGAGCCTAAGGCGAACTGTCATCTCTCTATCTTTCTCTTTCTAAATTTATCTCACTGAATTATACTTCTCGAATCATATCTTCGCTCCCTAATCTTCTCCATTACTGCCAATACTTCTACTATCTCTACCACTATGTGGTTTGAACTGACAAATGCATCTCTGTGCTGATGGGGTATGGAAACCTGAACTTATGTACTCATGTACAAAGTTCTACGTTATAACTGACTAACTGACTAAATTCAATAGCGCTTTAATTTTTTTTAAAAATTGATCAAAAGAAAATTCTTTCTACCTACTTTAAAACTAAATCATCACTAATTAGTTAAAAGACAACTAACTAACCTTGCGTTTCAATATCAAGAAGTTTATATGATTTTTTATAATCTACTGGATTAGGTCGTACAACTTTAATTCCTTCTAATTCAAGTACTTTCACAAAATCTTCAACTTGTTTACACAATAATTGCCAATGTTCTTTTGGTATAACATCAGCCCAATATTTACCACCATTTTGAAGATAGAAATCATGTTTAGCAGAGGCAGCACAAGTCTACATAAAAATGAAAAAGAAATATATGTGATCAATAAAAGTTGATCATATAGTTAACAATAAAAATGATGTGAGGTTTACCATGATCTCCAAACTTAAATAACCTAATACTACTACTACTACTACTACTACTACTACTACTACTACTACTACTACTACTACTACTACTACTACTACTACTACTACTACTACTACTACTACTACTAACACTACTACTACTGCTACTATTACTACTACTGTAGTGAACGAGAACACAGGCGGGGCAACCAAATTGTATTTAATGAAAATTACAGAGTTACTCAGTAAAATCGGAAAACCATATCGTAAATCGTTAATCTGCAAAATATCAGTTCGTCATATCGAACTGGACTGTTCCTGTTGCAAAACATCAATCCATTGTCACTATTCATGTGTTTCATACAAATTCCATTGTTTTCTAACTCTTCCTTTCTTGATCTTCCCCCATCTTCTGCTGCCAGACATCACGTTGACACTCACGTCATATACTACTTATAAGTAGCTCGCACCACACTACTACTACTATTACTAACACTACTACTACTACTACTACTACTACTACTACTACTACTACTACTACTAAGATTTTAAAGTATAAAAGTCCAGATGAAACATTGCCAGGTTAAATGCAATGGAATTCAACACCCATAGACAATCACTTAGTGATAACATTAGAAAACAACTATTTGTCAATGAATTGATAACATATTCTTCTAAGAGATCCCTAGCTAAAAAATAGAAACTAAACAATTATCAAGAGTATTTGTATGTTCATTAGTTTGCTAGCATGTATATGTTAATTAATATTTTCTTAATATATATAATTAATTATATAATCAGTAATGAAAGCGATCTATTATCCTATTGATTTATGAACATGAACAATACAAAATATAAGATATATACGACTTATAGGGATTAGCATGTTTACCGAATGATGCTAATTTGGACTATATAAATAACAGTAGTTAACATTACAATGCGTTTAAATAAAGTATACTAGCTTTAGATAGTAATAGTCCGTTAGATGAATAGGAAACGATAAGTATTCACTATTCAATGGTTTAATAAGTTTGGGTCTTATTTATAATTTCGCCTATTTAACATATGTGCATAAATTCAGTAAAAATGGGTAACTGTTAGTAGTGGAATTCAGAACATGTGTTTCTTCCTATTTGGGAGGCGTCAGATGAATGAACTTACAGCCCAGTGTTATTATTTACACATGAATTCATGTCTGAGCTGGTTGTTTTGGTTGTGGAGCTTTCATTGTTCTCATTCTAAACAACATCATCAGCACAAACTTGAGATAGAAGTGAAGTATTCGAATTTCTCCACGTTTGACCTGTAGCTTGTTCTGATAACCTCGATCTTGATTGGTTGTTGTCGACCTTAAATCTGTCGTTGTTTGCACCTTTGTTTTGATTGTATCCTCCTTTTGATCTGTTTCTTGATCTTAAGTCGCCCATGATTTTTCTGATAGGTTAGCAGAACAAGCTAAAGGTCAAACGTGGAGAAATTCGGATACTTCATTTCTTCTATCCGAAGTTTGTGCTGATGATGTTGTTCAGAAGAACAATGAAAGCTCTACAACCAAAACATCCAGCTCAGAGAACCAAACACCACCACCACAATCATCCACCTGAGCTAAAAATCTTCACCATCTCAGACTGTTTTCTTTTCACTTCCAAGATTGTTAGAAATTATATAAAATTTTAAATAGCTTACTTACTTTCACTTCAGGTAATAAATGTGGTACTGTAGCATATTCTGGTGTTCCAACAATAATTTCTTCTAAAGGATCCCATTCATTCCATGAATTGACGGGAGATTGTATTTTATTCTCTTTCGGTTGTATATCAGTTGAATAAAAACTTGAAACAGTTTTAATTTGTACTAATGTTTTATTCTTTTGTAAACATTTAATCTATTTTTAGTAAAAATGTTTTTTTGAAAGAAAATAAAAGAAATGGTATTGAGTGAAGATTTACAACCTTTATGAATATGAACCGTTATTTGTGACACTGTTAAATGTTTTCGACTAGGGTTACGGAGATTTGTGTTTTTTGCACATTGAAATCATCAATCAATCATTGTTAGAACACCATTAGTAACCTGAAAGCACTGGACGGCCGTTTCGTCCTCTTATTGGAATCTTCAGCAGTGTGCATCCACGACTCATGTACCTCTTAGGATTCGAACCCAGGACCTTCGGTCTCATGCGCCAACGCCTAACATCTCGATCACTGGGCCGGATTCCGACGGTGTTAATGTCTAACTCAGATCAATCTAGAGATTTTGCACGACCTCATCCATTCGCCTATACTCGACAGGTTTGAATTCCACTGATCAGGTCTTCTCACTAGAACTCTGAGAATTTCCTCAAGATGTCAGTCAGTCAGTTGCAACGTAGAACTTCATACGTATGTACATAAGTTCATGTTGCCATACCATATTATTAGCACAGAGACGCAAATGTCAAATCAAATCCCATAGTGATAAAGATAGTAGAGGTATTAATGTTAATAAAGAAGACTAGAGTTCGAAGATATTATTCAAAAAATATAATTCAGTGAGATAAGATTATAAAGACAAAGGCAGAGGTATTGAGGAATCCAGAAGATGTCCTCAAGATATCAATCACCATAAAGCGTATTTTACGATTTTTTCAGTTAGAGTAATGGAGATTAGTGTTTTTACACATGGAAATCATCAATCAATCGTTATGGTCTAACCATGATCGACTGTTACATGTATTTATGTGAAAAAAACACGAGAAATGATTATCTTATTACATAAACTGATATGTTAGACAAGTGGTCACTAAGTTTTGTATGACGAAACTAATTATTTAAACAGATGTTTTTAATAGGGTTACTGTGACTTCAATTTATGCGAAAAGCTTGTCTAATTTATTTAATAAAAACAAATAACATGTGAAATAATATCATAATTTCTATAAACCATAATGATAACTTTATAGCATAAATCTCAGTAAAGATGGCAAGTTTCTAAAATAAAGTAACCAGCCTTAATTCACCTTCTGGATATTTAACTAATGACTGTAAGACCATAAATTTAAATCATATTTTATTCAGTTTCTTTTGCAATATACATTTTTATAGAAAGGATTAATTTGTCGAAGACGGAATGATGTGTTTTCCAGATAAATCTATTGTGAAAAGAATTTCCTATGGCAAACAATCTTTGTAGTCATAAGCTTAAATTAAAAAAAAATATTGGAAAAACAAATAATATTTAATTCAGAAATGGTTATTTAACCTAGAAGCACCATTTTTGTTATGTATGATACTCATGAAATAATATTCATGAAATTACACTAAAAATATGCTTATAGTTAAACATTTAACAAACTAAGACCAGATTCAGTGAATGTTCTGTTGTTGTCTGAAATTGCCCAAACATATTCTTTCCTTACTCGATAAAGAACTGAATCTTGAAATTAATTCATTACTACACAACGAATTCACAAAAATCTCGTGGTTGACTCTGCTTAGTTCGATCTATAGCGTAAACAACACTTATTATACTCATTTGAATATGTGTTTCATTGATTGTGATGAAATAGAGAAAGGACGGTAAGTATAATGAGGAAGAAGAAAAATGGATAGAAGTCAGTGTGTATGAGTTCAAATAATAATCCTAGAAGCAGTTCATTCACGAAAGTTCAACCAGAAACAATTCTTTCCGTTGAGATAGTTCCTCT